CCATAATCACCATCCCGGCTCTTGGATTTCAACAGTGATTTTCACATTTGCTTCAGAGCTAAGCAGAATACAACTTGGAGACAAGAGGATTGATGTCTCTAATTCAGAGCCTGCTTTCTGAAAGCAAAATGCCCAAAGGACAAGACAGTAACAAACTACCGTGTAATTGGAAAAGCTTCTGTTGCTTAAAAAAAAACCCTTTCATGGCAGCACATTTATGTGATAGTGCATTTTATTCTCAGAAATCATTTTCCCTCTTGCTCACCATGCCTTCCTAGACCAGGGCTACACTGAGCATTCACTTCAGCTTGTGGGTTTTCATCACAGCAAAGCATCTGAAGAGCCCATGAAAGCAGATTCTGCTACAGAACACTCAACAACTGCACTGCAGCTCAGTGCAGCACAGGCCTGATGAACTGGTAGGCTGTTATATGTTTGGACACCTTCTTTTCCCAGTAAAAACCACCCTTAATAAAACCCTTAAATAAATTGAGCAACCTGCTCTAGTGGAAGGTGTCCCTGTCCGTGGCAGGGGGTTGGAACTGGATGAGCTTTAAGGTCCCTTCCAACACAAACCAGGTTGGGAATCTAGGATTTCTCTCCTCAGAGAGAGCCATGAATGGGTAATTTAAATATTGAAGGTTAAGATTTCTGATCAATCATCACCAGGGGATGGACTTACACACAGGAGTACTGAATCTGCTCCATGGTTGGGAATGAAGGACAAGTCCCACTGAGCTATCTATTTAAAGAACTGTGGCTTTCCACAGGAGGAATGCCAGCAGCACCTACCCAGTTAACTGTTCTTTAGGTGTTTGAACTTCAATCACACAAGATTAAACTATTAATATGCTAAAGAAGAAGCCTTCAAGACAAAAACCACTCACACAAAAGAGTTCTGAATGCTCAAAAATCCTCCTGCAAGCAATTTGTGGTTTCTAGCAGGGACTATGACAGGCAGAGAGAACCATACTTTAGATGTCAGTAGTCTGAATAAGACATTTGCTTCTGTGAAAATAGATTCCACTCTCCTCTCCCCACAAACCACCCAGGATAGGGAGTCCTGTCTGTTCTTCCTTCTTGAGTCCCATTTTTTCCTGGCATTCTCTCTGCTGCCCTTGAAGCACTTATTATTGTGACCACGCTTCCAGCCATGGAACACTGGATGGGGATGCCTTCAGAGGTTTGCAAATGCTGTTCTTCAGACAGAAGATACTGAGCTTGAATCTCCTGCAAGGCAGAGCTGGGAGATACAACTGGCACAGAGTTGCATCAAAGCCTTCATGTAGTGTGTATAAGAGACCTTATTCTATCAATCAAAATGAACACAGCACAGGCAGCAGTGGCTGCCTTGAAGATATAGCAGGAACAGGGCATCCTGCACAACAAAGCCACACAGCTCCGCTTGCTGCCAATGTGGGGTCTGCAAATGTGAGCAGAAGAACAGAGAAAACCCACACTTGGACCATGAGAACAGCCTCAGAAACCTCCCAAGCTGCAGCAGGAGAAGGCTTCCTTTGCAGGACACTGGTGTTATCCCAGGAACAGCAGGAAACAGAGGAGGTCGTGTGGCTCGGCTCCAAGATCACAACAGCCAGTCTGTGTTTAAAGGTCTGTCATGAGATCTAGTCCTAAGATTTAGACTAGATATTAGGAAGAAGCTCTTCACTGTGAGGGAGATGGAACAGGGTGCCCAGAGGAGCTGTGGCTGCCCCATCCCTGGCAGTGTTCAAGGCCAGGCTGGACACAGGGGCTTGGAGCAACCTGCTCTAGTGGAAGGTGTCCCTGCCCATGGCAGGGGCTGGAGCTGGATGAGCTTTAAGGTCCCTTCCAAGCCAAACCTTTCTCTCATTTTGTTGAACATCACTCACAGTCTGTAACTCCTGTTTCAACAATCTACCTGTGATACTGAAAATGAACAACAAAACCCACATGAGATGACTGGAGTTTAAGGTCTCCCTTAGACCACTTTCACAATCCGCCTCTTGTTCTCTCCTTCCCATTCAAAACATCACCACCAAATTATGTCTGAAGTGTTGAAATACATGCACGTTTTTCAGAACAACAGCTTAGACTGGCAATTCTTATGTTGGGATATTTAAATATGCAGGAACCTGCTGCTGTACTGTCACACAAACAAGCCCAGAACCACTGAAAGGGTGTATTTTCACAGCCTGCTTTAGGACTTGACAGAACTCCATGGCTTGGCTTAGCTTAGTTCAACCCTTTTGCAGGCTTCATTTCATCTCAAGGCACAGAATAACCCCGTTAAATGTGTTGCAGAGCCTGTAAATTCTTACTGTATCCCTGTGGAACCTCGCAAGGACTGCAAATGCTGCCCACGGCCCTTCCCAGCCTGCAGGTAGAGCACAGGCTCACCAAGGTCTCAGCATTCCCTGGAGTCCTTTAAGGACCAGGGTTATTGTTAAGATTTGCAATTACTCACAGCAGGAGGCCTGCCCATCCATCCCTCCCCTCCTTCCTCCCTCTATCCCTTCTCTTATCCTAGAAAGGGATTTTGGTTAGATTTAGTTAATAATATCAACCTCTCTATATTCCCACTTCTTCTTAAGAGCTACTAAACTGGATTATTGTTTTGAGGTCTCTAAGTAGAAGAAAAGCTGAATGGAGACTTGAACACCCCCCCGCCCCGAACCTCACACAAAGCTTGTATTTCACAAGCTGAGGGGCAGCAGAACTGTGTCACAAATACAACTCCCCTCAAAACTTGTTTCAACCCTTATCTGGGAAGGTTTTGCAAAACAATAATTCTCTTTACACCACTAAAATCATACTTACAGAGGGAAAAAAAATTGAGTTTCCTTAGTATAGTCTGCCAAACACAGCTAAGGCTGAGCTGGAGGTTTTAAAGGTCTAATGTTCACAAGCTTTGGTTTGTTGCCTGCTACAGAGTGAAAGGACAAAATCAATGTCTTTAATGGACCATGCAATATACAGATTGGGGCTGCACAGTCCAAACTGTGCAAGGCACAGCAGTGGAATAAGTTCAACCCCAAAACTAAGGGATTTTGGGTATTTCTCTAAGGCCTGTAATCTAAAATTGCCAGGATGGCCAAATGCTCTTCCTCTTCCCCATGCTGTCTGTTTATGCAACAAATCCCAAGTATCTTAAGGCTTTTAAATGTCCATGGGTTTAGCCTGCATCAACAGAACTCGTTTTCTCTGTGTCCATCTGAGAAATGACAAGGTTTCTACAAGTGCTGCAGTACCAGTGGTAGCAGCACATCCAAAGGGTGAGCAAAGTAAAATTTGTTTTATAGGCCTTTTTCTCCCTCCTTCAATATTTTTGGCTTTATCCAAGTGCATCCTGCCAAAACCTCTCCCCCACTGCACTATCATTCCATGAGCTATTTCACACCTCCCATTCCATTCTAATGTGGAGCCAAATCCATCCAGACACCAACAGTGTCCAATGTGTGACAGAATGGAATCTTTCCCTGGACATTAGGAGAGGCCACAAGATGTCAGGGGTGAAGTATCTCCATGGCACGAATGATGCTCAGCTGTGCAGTTCATTCCATGCCTTTCCACTCATTGAATCCAGATGCCACAAGTTTCTCAGCTTTGTAAGTATCTGAGACAAGGACACAGACTAACACGCAAGAGGTGAATCAGTAGCTGGGGTAGGGAGAAACTGTAGTGAGCCAGAAGGATTACTAAGAAGAGAAAAGAGCAAAAAATAAGGTACCAGAACTTCTCAGCAGTTGGGCACATAAGTGTTTCCATCCCTGGCAGTGTTCAAGGCCAGGCTGAACAGGGCTTGGAGCAACCTGCTCTAGTGGAAGGTGTTCCTGCCTGTGGCAGGGGTTGGAGCTGGATGAGCCTTAAGGTCTCTTCCAACCCAAACCATTCCATGATTCTATTGTTCACAGCCTCTGGATCTATTGGACAGCAGCTGCAAAGTACCATCTTCCTTAGCCAAGGCAGAGAATTCACCACACTGTCCCCACAGAAATCAAATCTCTGCACTGTGTTCTCTGAAACATCCCTGCAAATCATCTGAGAGACTGTGACAACAGAGAAGACTTATTCTGTGTGTTTCTGTCACACCAACTACACTGCTGTAGTGCAGCTTTTGCCAAGCTCCACCTTCAAAACAGAGCAGGATGCTTTGCTCCTCAGCTCTCTCCAAACACCCTACACCAGTGTGAACACAGAGTTAGAGCAGAGGAGCAAGTACACTGGGAACTCACTACCTGTCTCTGTGTGTACTAATGGCACTGGGCCAGTACAATCCAATATCCAAGAGAAAATACTTCCCTACCTCACGCAATTAAAATGCAGGCAGCAGCAGTGTGCCTAGTCTGTACGCTTCCTTTTGGTACCTAAGAAATGTCAGCAGGATCACATAAAGAGCTCTAAAAGGACAGACACTGCAGTGATGTTTCACATAAATTGCTAAGATGGAGGCTCAAGAAGTGCTGACACGAATCACAGAAAGAACTGCTATGCCAAGAGGAGAGAAATGACCAAAGACAGGCATTACACTTAGCTGAACCCACCCATGCAATGTCTCACACAAACAACAATTTAACTCAACATATTCAAATATAATCACTTATTATGCAGTATTTGACAAAGTCACTATCTTTATCAGAGCAGACAGGGTCCAAAGAAGCAGATCTATCTGCCCAAAGCATGTGGATACCAAAGGCAGTGAAAGAATTCCATGCTAGATGTCTAGAGACATAGGTGGAGAATCCTCATCTCCTGGTGGCCAGCAGCCAGTATCTCTAGCTACTCGTCCAGCAGCTCTGCACACACTGGAACAAGGATTATTTGCTTACAGACTCCTTTTTCTGCCCTCGATGCTCCTTTGCTTACAATGAGCTCCCTGCAATCCCACAGACAGCATCCTTTGGAAGACCCAAAATGAGAAGCAGAAAGCCACTTCCCCGCCACCGAGAAGTGTCACATCAAAACGTTGTGTTGCCAAACATAATGTAAACCAAAGTGGGGCTAGAAAACGCAGCATTTACCTGACAAGAGATCTGTACAAGGTAGACCAGTTCCTTGGATTCACAGCCATTTCTTGTTACTTCATTCTGTTCCTCCGGGAGCGAAAGCTGCATCAAGGGAGCAGGGACGGGGTGGAGAAAGAGAGAAAGACCAGGTCAATGAGCAGGGATAAGCCAGGCATGTAATAATGCATGAAGCACAACGTTCACATCAACTTGCTCCAAGACATGCTGAGTAGCAGGGAATCAGGGATGTGTTTGTGTGCCTGGAGCTGTCAGAGAGAAAACATTGAGCATTCGTGGGTTGCACTGGAATGCCATTGGATTCTGGCACCTCACCTGAGGTTTAAAGGTTTAAAACTAAAACTATGGTTCAAAAATAAAACCATCCTAGGAAAGCAAAGTATTCAAGCCAGGGATTAAAGCTTAGAAGTCTGCAAAATCAGTTGTTCACTGAAATAGCTCTATAAATATTAATGTATCAGATAACAGTGATTTCCACCCCCCCAATTTTATTCATTTTCTATTTGATATGTTCAGCAGACATTAGATAACAAACCAGATCTCCTCATTTCAGCCTTGTCAAGCAATTTACCACAACAGAGAGCTTTATGGCACCATTTATCACATACAGAGTCATTAAATACAACATCAGGATGTGCTTGTATTTCAGAGCAGAGAGGAGAGACTTAACCATCTCATTCCTGTACATGTACCGAGTGCCTTGACTAGTCCTGCTGCTCCTACTAGTTTAGCATCCTGTAGGTACAATTGCTTGTATTTGATCATCTTCTCTGAAAAGTGACCATTAAAAGTGATCATAAGCAAACTAAGACTTTGCAAAACAAATAATAAAAGGAAATGTCTTCCAGAAAGTTGTTTTATGAAAGAAAGAGATCCTTACCCAGCACAGAGGTCCAGGAACTAAAGATTATATATATATATATATAAAAACTCCATTATACACAGAGCAGGATGAGGGTCTCAACCTCACAGTGCTCATACAGCTATCACAGCTACCTTTATGTCTTGTGTGATGGACATTAAGTTGCAGTGACAGCACCTTGTTAAGCAGAAATGATGCCAGTTAAAAGCAGAAAGTACTGAGGAAGAATCTGGGCCTTTTTCCACGAGGTTTTTTGGAACAAGAGACTTGTTTCTCTTTTGGAAAATGTGTACAGAAAAGTTGAAGTCTGGAAAAAATTGTACTTAGCCAAGGGCAAAAAAATCCCAACAAATGGAAACAGAAATGTGCATGACCTGAGATGGCTGAAACAATCTGTGAGTAGCATCTATGGTAACTGAGCAAAGGGTTAAACAGCATCCTCCGATATATATGGCTTGATATAGAACCCAAAATGTTCATTTTTCACATTCAAAACGTGCCAAACTTCTTGAGCATGATAAACACATAGGATGCATTAGGTTCTGGAGGTACATTTGTTACTGGAATACTATGCTTAGCTAGCACAGTCAGATAGGACTGACTCCATAAATCAGGTTTATGGTATCCTCAAGTTTTCAGTGGAAGCATTTCATGATACACAAAGCAAGCCCTAAAGATGCTCCTATGAGCTTTAACAGGTGCCTGAATAGCACAGAGTGCTGTGAACATTATGTCAAGCTATCATTGTGAGTCCCCTCCTTTCTGCCTTCCTGCACGCATCCATAAGGACCCAGTGAGTGTATTAAATCCTGGAGCAGACAGGCCAGTTTTGCTCTACCAGCACATGTACACCAAGCTGCTTTGTGCAGCTGACTAGTAAGAGCTGTAGCCCCTACTACAGTGATCTGCCAAAGGATGAGTAACTATAATAAACCAAACAGAAACGACTTCTGGAGCAGGAGGAAGAAGTGATTGGGACCTCATGGTATCACCAGGAAGAGTGAAAGGCAAAATGCACCTTGCTCCTATAGTTTTGCCAAGACTATTGATCACACACACAGGCAGGACTAGCTTACAAGTGCCTCTAGTTCATGCAGTCTGAGAACAAGCAGCGCCTGTCTGGTAACCCAGCAGATAAAGACAGTAATTACAGAAGTCTCCTACAGAGGATGATTTATTGCTTATTCCTCTTGTAGAGCTAAACAGCACCAGAGTGAACAGGAGGGTAAGTTATGATATGGCACATTCAGAAGGCTTATTCCAAAGCTCAGCAGTTTTACAAGGTGCAATGCTGTGTGTGTGTGCATTTACCTTCCAGAACTGGGGTTAAGAAGAACAAAACTCACACTCTCATCTCTCTTCTCCAAAGTGGCTTTGGAAACTCCCTTCTGCTCTCCCTCCAAGAACACTCCTTGCATCCAACCCTGGCAGATCTGTGCTTGGAGCAAAGCAGAATGTGTTTTAAAGACACATTTGTTTGTCTGGAGCTCCACAAGGCTACTGGGAACCTGTCTGGCAGCCACATGGGACCTGCCACGTTTTCCACACAGCATCAAAAAAGCAAGGGCTAATGACTGGGGAGAGGGCTTTAATATGAGCAGAAGCTGGTCCTTCTCTTGTCAGCGTGACCACAGGCTTTAAACCGGAGTCACATCCTTGTGTGCTCCTCCTAGAAACTGCAAAAACTCTGGGGAATCACTTCAAGAAAAAGCACTACAGAAATCCATTGCCAAGACCAGGATTGTTGGCTACTAAATTGAAGTGCCAAATCCCTACCAAGTAAGAGCTGGCTTTGCTTTGCAAGGTCTGTGGGGCTGTGTCTGCTCCTCCTCACTCTGCCTCTGACCCTAGATGCCAAATAAGCTCATTTAAATAGCTTTGGCTTTCATTTCCTTGTTTGCTGAGCGATGTGAACCCCTTCATCCAGACCTCCTGATGACAGGATAATTTGTGAAAAACTGGGGAAGGACAGATTTAATTCAACTCTGAACCTTATTTATTTCAGCTTCTGCTTCCAGAAGTCATGAACACATGGATTTCACTTGCACACGTGTATCTGAGTAGTGCAAATGCATGTTCACTTGTGAAACACATACTCCATGACAAATCAAAGTAATTAGGTACATAAAATGAATACAACTGCTCTTGACAGATGAGAAACCTACAAGGAATCCTACAAGGATGACAGAGAAGGACTTTTTATCAGGGACTGTAGTGATACAACAAGGGGTGATGGGTTCAAACTGAAACAGGGGAAGTTCAGGTTAGATCTAAGGCAGAAGCTCTTCCCTGTGAGGGTGCTGAGGCGCTGGCACAGGGTGCCCAGAGAAGCTGTGGCTGCCCCATCCCTGGCAGTGTTCAAGGCCAGGTTGGACACAGGGGCTTGGAGCCATGGTAGGGGATTGGAACTGGATGATCTTATGGTCCTTTCCAACCCAAATCATTCTATGAAGCTGCAATGCTTCCTAATATTAATATTATTAGAAGTTTGCAGTAAAGTCAGCTAATACAGACCCACTCCTTTCACTTGAAGCCACAACCTATCCAGCTGTGACATCCCACAACTGGCAACATCTGGCACAGTGTTCCAGGGAGGATGAAGAGCTCATGGAGGGATGTGATGGGGTAGACGGCGATAAACCAGCCTCCCAGGCAAGCATGAGCTTCAAGAGGTGTCATCTCAAACACAGCACGCATCTGTAGAGATCTCCAGGAGAGGAGAGATGGCAAGAATGGTGAAGAAGTCGTCTGCCAGGAGTTTTAAGTCAGTGGAAAGGCTGATGCTTTTGCTGGCAAAGGATGCGTCATTGTTCCAAGGAAACCTGGTAATCCTTCTATGTTTTCCGAGCTGGAATTTAAGGTTAAAAGCAGCCAGACACACGCAACCAAAAGCTCAACCAGAGCAAAAGCTCATTAAGTTTCCAAACCACTGTTACATCTGATAATTTTTCTTCTGACAGGTTTAGGAACAAACTTTGTCTTTCTTCTCTTTCTGAACCACCTCCTGCCTCTTCCATGTCTGTCCTCTTGTGAATTTATGATGTTTGTGCAATTGAGCAAATCAGACGAGGGAAAAACCACAGGACAAATGCCACCTTTATGCATCGCTTTGGAATGTATGGATGGGGTGAAAAGTATGTCTGGTGGCCAAGAGCAAGAAATATGAGGCTCATTTTCCTGTGAAATATTGCTACGCTTTATTTTCAAAAAAGCCCAAATATCCTTGGGATAAATCCTGCAGAAATTAAAAGACTTAACACTGATCAGACTCAGAGATGCAGAGTCATTATAAGAAACAGCTTTTATTCCCTCTCGCAGCTCCAGACCCTAATAGACAATACTTCCACCATCTCCTACATCACCCTGGTCATTCACACACCACTTCATCTTCAGTTAGCTGAGCCCATTACGCATATTTGTCTTGCAATGAGGTACCTTCCTGACCTGGGTTTTGATATATTTGAGCATTTTATTTTATTGTGTTTGAAATTTTAGGCTGGCAAATCTTTTCAAGCAGGGAAACATATTTTAACTCATGACTGACACCATAAATGTATTTATCTGGCCTGGTTTTCCTTGCTCCCACTGGGTTCCCCATCTTCTCCTGCTTTATCCTTTTCATACTGAACTGCGGCTTCAGAGCAGGAAAAGAACATTTCTGACAGAACAGCTTCTTAACCCAAGCATAAACATCCTGAATGATCCAAGTATTGCAAAATGCAGGTGATACTTCTCCATAGAAGCATCATAAGGGGGCTAAAAAAGGTCTGGAGAGGGGCTTTGGACAAGGGCCTGTAGGGACAGGACAAGGGGAATGGCTTTAACTGATAGAGGAGAGATTGAGATGAGCTCTTAGCAGAAGTTCTTCCCTGTGAGGGTGCTGAGGCGCTGGCACAGGGTGCCCAGAGAAGCTGTGGCTGCCCCATCCCTGGCAGTGTTCAAGGGCAGGTTGGACACAGGGGCTTGGAGCAACATGCTCTAGTGGAAGGTGTCCCTGCCCGTGGCAGGGGGTTGGAACTGGAGGAGCTTTAAGGTCCCTTCCAACCCAAACCAGTCTATAACATCACTAGAAAAACATCATTAGAACATGGAAGGAGGATACTAGTGACAGAGGTGAAATTAACTCCTGCTTTAAAGCCTCCTCCTCACAGACACAAGTCCCAGCAAACCGCAGGTGTACTGGGAAGGCTGGATTTTCTGCAAGTACAAGCACTAAGTAAAT